TTGTTAATTAAATTGACTAAGAGAGATTTGAAAAAAATCATGAATATTCAGCGTCATTTTTTTTTTATTCAGCCTATCAGGTTTATTAGCCTGAGCCAAAAGGTTCAAAAGTGTTACATATATATACAGGAAAAAAAAATTACATATATATATTGCATACAAAAATACATTATTTCACATATCAAAACTACTTAAATTTTCAAATTACATTCTTTAAAATTCAGCGTCATTCAAATTACGTTTTGCATAGAATTATTATTTTTATAAACGTTGGTTGTTTATGAATAAATGATTGTTTTTGAAGATTGAACATTGAGGAATGTGTTAATAATGTTGACAAGACCTAATTTGAATAAATAAATAATTAAAATTGAATAAACTTTCGGAAAAATTTTTTTAGATACGAAATCGATGTTCAGGAAAATTCTGAATATGAATGAATTTGTTACGAATTTGAACAAATGGTTTTTATGCACGGAGAGGAATATTCAATCAAAATTACCTATCTTAGTTTTGAGGCTTTCGCGGCCATTATTAATGACATTATTGGCTTCCGGGTGGATGCCGCGTTTGGTTTCAGCATTGCGCCGACGTTTCGCAAACATTGCCGTCTACCTCTTTAGGGCTATGAGCCCCGATGTCTGGGGGTCGTCCTATATGTCTTCCCCTGTGATGGTGGGGGAAGGGGGTGGGGGTCAGCCAATCGTATGTTTTTTAATTCACCAGCTGATCAATTTATTGAGAGAGTTTACTCAAGGTCATAACTAACATGATCATCTTCTAGAGCAATATAATTGTCATAATTGAAGCCTAATGAGAATTGCCTGCGAATGACTTGACTGGAGAAATACGATATTGAAAAATAAATACTTCTCTCAAGTAAATGGATATGTGGCAAAAATATTTTTTTCCCAGCGCATTAGCCCATCAAAACAAACAATAAAAAATGTCCAAAATAGGGTCAAGTGGCAATGCCCCAAATATTTCTCCACCCACAGCCCGAGAATAATAAAACCAGATTGAACGCTGAACATTCTCACCCCTCGCCAAAACCTCGTAACAACGTGAATTGTCATAGGTATGAAAATACAAAAGCCAGAATGTTCACCATAGCCAAGACGTGTCAGCACAAGCCCAGTAAATCATGCTTCACAGCCGTCACAGAGCCGTTGGACTACGTACTCTATCTTTCTGGCATGAAGACTTTGCCTCCATTCATTTATCCTCAGTTCTTATTTTAGTCCAATTCCGCCTGAATCATCAGTCACCCCCAATTTTCATCGAATTACATGTCCCTAAATAGAGTAACCAAACAATTACCCTGAATTATTTGACATATTCTTTCATTCATTCACCCATGAGCACATAAACGAGCGCAAATTATCCGGTAATTGGTGAGCGCTGTATCGGGAACAGCACAAATCTCGTACCATCAGGCTATTTACAGTGGGAGAGAAGGGAATTGTGGACGCAAGGACGCACAAAGCTACATGAATTCCAATATGATTTCACCATTTAATTCGTTCTCTACGGTATTGACACATTGCATTATTTTTTATTCGTCGAAAAATTTAGTGAATTCGCTAGACATTCTGTTGATTTTCCATTGAATTTTCTGTTAATTCTTGGGAGATTCTGTTGAAAAATTCTACAACAGCGCGTTTTTTATTGAAATGTTTAATGGAAAATGTTCTGTAGAAAAAATGAATAGAACCATTTTTCTATGCAAATTATTCTATTCAGATATTTTCTGGAGACATTTTTGTTCGATTCTTCAAGGATATCCAAGTATCTTTCACAGTTTGGGACAGACCACACTATAAATTCAGCAATTTTCAATCATCAAATTTATCAATTAAATTGCGTGAGAAAAATTTGAAAAAATCATGAATATTCAGCATCACTCATCATTTTTTTAATATCCGTTGTTTATAAATTAATAATTAAAATTGTTTAAACTTTTAAAATCGACTTCTCGTAAAAGTGAATATAAATGAATTTGTTATAATTCCGTACATTTTTCTGTTGAAAAATTCCTTGTTTATAAATTATTGATGGAAAATATTCGTAATTTTCAAAAATAGTCATTTTTTAATTTTTCATTTATTCAATAGAATCCGATTTTTCTATCCAACTTATTCTATGGAGTTATTTTCTACAGAAATTCTTCGACTCAAATTTTCTATTTCGTTGTTCGATTCTTTTAATGAAAAGAGGTAAAAAATAGAAGAGTTCTATACAAAGAATGGAATTCAACTGGTTGTTTTGTATAAAATAATTTATAATGAACATTTTAATAATAATAATAATAATAATAATAATAATATCAATATTAGTAATGGAGTTAGAGGGAAGAGAATTATAGACGTAAGGATGTACAAAACCACATGAATTCCAATATGATTTCACCATTTAATTCATTCTCTACAGTATTAAAACATTACAGTATTTCTTCATATATCTCTCTCGGTGAATTATCTAGATGTAGCGTAAAATTACAGCTTCTGGAGACCCAAGAATACAGATTAAACTTATTTTCAACTCTTAACAATATCTATCAGTTTGTTATAAAATTCGTAAACAATTTTACAATTTTGTAATTGTGTTCGTCCGTTGGTACACGGAAAGAAAAAAATGAACTCAATATCACAAAAATAATAATTTGATAAGACGGGGGAAAATAAAACGAATTCTGGAATAAAATGTGAAGTTATTTTTTCATTTTGTTGTTATTCGATGCAAAAAATTAATTCGTGAGCAGGAAAATTCTCACTTAATCGTAAAGTCTTCGTGTTTAAGTTGTAATATATTTGAATGAAGAAATTTGTTTTGTGATATTGAGGAGTTTTTTCTTTTAACGTATTGAAATCCGGTAGAATGGCAGTGGCTGTTGTGCGTTGTGGAATACATTTCGCCTGCCATTTGATACCAGTTGGCTCCTAATCCTAATGAAATATAAACGCGTTTATCGTATCACAATGGGCAGTTAAAAACCGTGTCGTTTGAGAATAATCCGGAGCGGACTCGATGGTCAATCACTTTTCTCGGTTAATCGAGTCCAATCGCTCTTCAGAGGGCTTTATTTATCGTCCTGACAAGTTTATTATTTCAGTTTTAGTGTAAACAATGGGAAAAAATTGAATTTTCATTTTTTTCATTGATGGAATTTGCAAAAGAGTCCTCGTCATGAAAAATCCTTATTTCTTCGATTTTCAACGAAATTTCTACATGTGAAAAATCGGGAAAATTGATTAAATTGAAGTACGAATTAAGTACGAATCAAGTGATTGAAGGATGAATTAAAAAAAAAATTTTATGCATCAATTTTCTTATTATGTTCTGAGTAAATAGTTCGAAAAATTTGGAAACAATCCTAAGTAAATTATTTGTATTATAGTTGGATATTACTAATTATTAAAATTTTTCACTTCAGCGAATTTTGAAAAAAAATGCAAAAACTCAAAAGATAGAAATGTTTAAAAAAGCTCATTGATGGATTCTTCAAAAGTCCTCATGACGAAAAATCTTCATTTTTTGGGTTTTTCGATTTTTTTTTCTTGAAATTTCTACAGGTGGAAAATCGAAAAAATTGATCAAATTGAAGAATTGATCAAGTATGAATTTTTGTAGATTTTTTCTTCATCAATTTCTCATAAGTTTTCTCATTATATTCTGAATAAATGATTCGAAAAATCGAAAAAAAAATTCCAATTCAATTATTTATGATGTAGTTGGATATTACTAATTTTTCCAATTATTCACTTCAAAGAATTTTTATTTAAAAATTCAAAAACTAAGAAAATTGAACTTTTCAAAAAAAGGTCGTCTACTCATGTTTGAGCACATATTATGTACATCTGAACCAAAATTTGACTCAATCGGCTGAGAATCGCGTCATGAGGACACATTTGACAATTTTATTCCTCTAAACTCTGCCTAATGAAAAAAAAAATCAAAACTCAATTTTTTACATTAAAAAGGAAGTAGTAAAGTCATCATCAGTGCGGTCTCCCCTTAAGACACATTATTTCCGACAGTCGCCATCAGATTTATCGTAAAATATCATTATTCGTCTCTGTCACTGCTTTTAAATGATAATTTCATTCTCCCGGCTCAATGAAAATCTCACGTGATCAGTCTCAGTCTCCGTGCGCCCGAAAAATGTAGAGACTTTGATAAATGTAAATACACTTTTGAAGGAATGAAAAGGATTGGAATAATCCTCGCAGTGAAGTCGTGTAAAAACTGGTTTCAATAATTGTCTTTGAGTCTAAAGGAGAATTTTACCGGAGGTGTTTATCCGGAATTAATAAAAGTATTGTCTCCCCTAGGTCTCAAGGCATTTTCCACTTCACTGAAATATGGAATTGAGCAGCTCCTTTCTGAGTCTTGGAATGACAAAGATATCGCAATCAACCTTTAAACATTACTCAATATACGAACATTTTGTTATATAAAACTTCAGATCTACCTCAATATATTATATCAAAAAATACATATTCCCCTGAAAATCGAAGAGAATGATCTCGAAGGAAAAAATTGCAGTTTCTCAGAACTAAAAACATTAGGTGAGGCAAAATGGACAGTTCTTAGTGTTTTCATATTTTTATGTCATGTGCAAATTCATTTAGACTTGAAAAAAAATTGTAGACATGATCGTTTGATCCTTCACGCACGAAAAAATTTAATAGAAATTTTTTCGAATTTGATAATTGGATAGAATAGATTTCTGTTGAACTTTCTATTAGTTTTTGGCCGATTTTATTGAGTTGTTCCATAGAAACCGATCTATAGACTTAGTCTATTGAGATATTTTCTGCAGAATTTCTTCGGTTCAAATTTTCGAAGTTTTTCATTCTATTTTTCTTTCCTTTTCATCAAGAAAATGGAGACGATACTATTGTAGTATAATGCAAATTGAAAGCCATGGCACATCAATAAAATACAATATTTTTGTTGAATTTCTTTGATGATTTCATGTCATTTTCTTTCATTTTACCAATTCTGAAAAAAAAATCGAACAAATCAAAAATTGAAATTGTAATTCAAATTGAAACTCACATTTTTTTTCGTTGATACATTACGTGAGAAAACCAAAATCCAAATCAAATCAAATCAAGTCACATATTGTCATTGCAAAAAATTGAAACTCGATTTTTCTCATTTTTTGAGTTTAAATTTACCTAAAACTTACAAATTCCACATCGAACCCCCTTAAAAATTCCGCAAATTAAATCTTCGACCTCAGTACTATCGTTTTACGTCGACTTCCTTGACATATCCAAAAGAGCTCGTTTCCAAAGTTCAACGCCGACTAATTCAACTCGCCGAATTATGTCCCAAAATCTCTCTTAAAAAAAAAAAAGAAAAACTGTCCATTTGCGCTGCCTCCACCGGCCGATAACTCGAATGATCTAGAGCGTCAATGTTCCTAAGCATTGACGGGTGCTGACGTGCTGCCGACCTTCTTGGTTAATTCCTCGAGGAAATCCCTGTAGACCAGTGAATCCATATTAGACGACAGCACGTAAAGGATCCACCAGTCGCCAAGATCAATCTTCTTGGTGATGTTCCTGCAAGTGTCGATGGACAGTCTCCTCGCGGTGGACAGCTGCAGCAGTCTCGGTCGCACAGCAGGCGCGAAGATGATGGCGGCGCGGTAGATCATGAGCCCAACGAGGAGCATCGACAGAATGACAAACCAAAACCATATGAATATGTACGTCTTCTCGTTGACGATGTTCAAGGGGAGAATGCAGAGGCTGTCGTGCTGCTGTATCGTTCCGGAGGCACCGTATTTGTAGAATAGACACTTCGTAACTCGGGGAAATACGTAGACCATGGGATCCATTCTCTCCTCTTGGGGTGCGTCCGCGAACTGGAGGACACGCCAGCCGTAGCTCAGGAATTCACCGTTGAAGAAACGATTCATCAGGTATAATTGAACGATTATGTTCACCAGGCACATGGCTTCGCATGCAAAGTACCGGTAGACGTACGTGTTGTGTCTCTGTGAATGTAACGAGGCATGAATTAAAGGGAATTAGATTCAATGAGGAGGAATTGAGTGTAACTCGAGGATAACCCGGCGGGATTACTTTTTCTCCTCGTTGGTCTTCGGGGGCTTCATCACGTAGGAAACAAATTTTTAGAAGAAACTGGAGTTTAGGGGGATATTCTGGTGGGATTCTATTGAACTTGCTATTAGTTTTTACGATTGTGAATGGAAGTGTTCGATGGAAAATGTTTTATCAGAGAAGTAAATGGAGTTCGATTTTTCTGTACAACTTATTCTATTGGGATGGTTTCTATGGAAATTCTGGACATTTCTTTTGTGAAAAAAGCGGAGGCAACATGGGGATATCTCGAGCAAATGGAGAACAAAATGGATGAGGCGGTTTTCATGAGTGCAATCGTCTAGTGTCGAATTTTCATGAAGCCCGCCTGACAAATGAGAATTGGATACCTTTCTATGAAACATGAATAAACGAATCATAATTGTCCAAATCATTTAGGTCAGAGGAAAATAGAACAATTCTACTTTCTTAATATTGCGTTTACTGAGGTTTTCTGCGAACAAAGTTGATTAGAATGAATAGCTAGAATTATGAGATTATCTCAGATTTTTGACGTTAAGGATAGGAGAATCTGAATGCAATATAGTGAAAATGATGATCGATTTTTTCACTTTGAATAAATAATTTTAATATCCAAATACAAAATTGCTGATATGAATAAAAGCTGCGACTCGATATTCTAAATGAAGTTTTAATTTTTAATTTGGCGCTGAAAACACGAGATGACAATATTCTAAGCACGGAATTATATTGATGAGATGAACAACAGATTAACAGATTTCACCAGAGTATCAACAAACATTGAATTCCAGAAATTCACACTCGAAAGTGTATTCTAGAAGAAATTGAATTGTAATCATGATTAAAATCTTATTCAGCTCTTCAACAGAATTAAAAAACGAATCCAATATTCAACTGAAGTTCAATAAAAATCGAATGGAATTTTCCATCGAAATCACTAGATGTCTCTGTGAATTTTTTTCATCTGTGTTATCACACATGACGATAGCTTCACCGGGAACTTGAGGCCTCTGTGGAGGCTACAAGCGCAGAGACCGTGTAGTCATGTGATGCTGAGGAACGGAAACACGAGGAGAGGAATTATTCCACTCAACAATGGGTGATGAAATATCTTTTTTTGCTCGGACTATGGTAATGAGATTTTGCGATGCGAGATCGTTATGCATTCGCGATGAGTTTGTTGTTTCTTACCTTGATGTGAGTCACTAGGTAATCCATTAGGACGTTCTTCTTCTTTGATATCGTGTCTTCGGACTCTAGGCCGTGGTTTAGACCCATTACTAGAGTACTTGCTAGGCCACCCTCCCAGATGTTCCAGAGCCATTGGGGAAAGTAGCAGAACATCGCCTGGAATTACATTATTTAATACTTTGTGTGATGACTTGGGATTCGCAGAAGACAACTTCACGTTTTTTTTTTTCATTTTGAAGATATTTTTTCAAGGATTAAAATTACATTTTGATGATTTAAACATTGTAGTGCATTTCACCTCAATTTTTTCCATTTTCTAATCTTATTTTTCGTAGATTTTGTTTATTTACAATGTTTTCTTTTTATTTTGAAGATATTTTTTCAAGCCTCAACATAACTCAATAATTTAATGATTTAAGAGGATTTAATTATCTCATCGTTAATAACAGTTTTTTATTCAAGGATAAATCGAGATCGGCAGAGGAATATTTCACGATTTTTTTTTCAGTTTTAAAGATATGTTTTTCAAGCTTCCATACGAGATTTAACCCATTCAAATCTAATCATTAGGTCCGGAGATATTTAAGACTCAATAATTTAATGGTTTGAGAGGATTTAATTATGTCATCGTTAATAATCGCTTTTTATTAAGCAATAAATCGAGATTGGCAAAGCGAAATTCCACGTTTTTTCTCCATTTTAAAGATAAATTTTCAAGCATTAAAATGCGATTTGACTAATGCATATCGGATAATTTGATCAAGAGATATTGCTGACTTAAAAATTTTAATCCATTTAAATTTTAGTCCATTTTCCCTCAACTTTTCCTATTTTCTAATCTCATTCCTCATAGATTTTCTTCATTTAATATAACGAAAAAAATTGCATACTCAATGTTGCTTTCGTTTTTTTTCAATACTAAGACTGAATCACAAAAATGGATTCCATGAAAGTATTGACTTCCGTTGAATCGTTACGTGCCTCTTACCTTCCCACAAACGACGGCTGTTCGAACAATAGCAGATTTTGTATGCCACCGGCCACATTGAGAAAATAATAATAGATAAGTATCCGAAGATATCGATATTATATTTTTGAGGGACAGTTACATGCGTGCAATAGCTTCCACGGCATCTGTGGTATTAATTTCTTGTAGTCGAGATAAAAAACACGTGGAGACTGGTATGATAATGTCACCGAGTCCTCAACAGACATTACAAAGTTTTTTCAATTGATTTATTGATAAAATTAGAAATGAGAGAACAGAATAATCAATTTTTCGTGGAGACTTAATCATTAACTCTTCAGTCGTATTACGTTTCACCCATGAAAAAAAATCATAGAAAACCCTAACGAATTGAATTATTCAAAAGAAAAGTTCTGCAGTTTTACTGACCGTTTTTTTATAGAAAATGTTCAATCGAAACTATTTTAAAAATTTCGGAAGACTCCTCTTTCTATTGAATTTTTTCTGTTAAAACCTGTTCTACAGGAATTCCACGACAATAATTTTACAAGTTATTTCCGCTCTACTTTTCAATTTTTTTAAAAATCGAACAAAAAAGCTTGAAAAATTTGAGTCCAGGAATTTCTGTAGAAAATATTTCCACGTAATCAATTTTTCTACAAAATTTATTCCATCGAAAATTTATATTTAAAACAACGCGTAGATAACCTGTGCAATTCTACAAAAATGTTCACCCATGAATGCCTTCCACTCCTCACCCGATACTACAATGTCTCCTAACGAATTGATTGATGAGATTAGAAACGCCAGAACAGAATAATAAATTTTTTTACGACGATTTAATGATTGACTCTTCAATCGTATTCCCTTTCATTTACAAAAAAAACTTCGTAGAAAACCGTAACAAATTCAATAGAAAATTCTATTAGTTCCCGGCCGGATTCTACCGAAAAATTCTGCAGTGTTACGAAGCATTTTTTAACAGAAAATGTTCAATCGAAACTATTTTAAAAATGTTGGAAGACTTTCCTCTTTCTATTGAATTTTTTCTGTTAAAACCTGTTCTACAGGAATTCCACGACAATAATTTTACAAGTTTTTTCCGCTCTACTTTTCAATTTTTTTTTAAATCGAACAAAAAAGCTTGAAAAATTTGAGTCCAGGAATTTCTGTAGAAAATATTTCCACGTAATCAATTTTTCTACAGAATTTATTCCATCAAAAATTTCTATTCAAAAAACGCGTAGATAACCTGTGCAATTCTACAAAAATGTTCACCCATGAATGCCTTCCACTCCTCACCCGATACTACAATGTCTCCTAACGAATGGATTGATGAGATTAGAAACGCCAGAACAGAATAATAATTTTTTTTACGACGATTTAATGATTGACTCTTCAATCGTATTCCCTTTCATTTACAAAAAAAACTTCGTAGAAAACCGTAACAAATTCAATAGAAAATTCTATTAGTTCCCGGCCGGATTCTACCGAAAAATTCTGCAGTGTTACTAAGCATTTTTTAACAGAAAATGTTCAATCGAAACTATTTTAAAAATGTTGGAAGACTTTCCTCTTTCTATTGAATTTTTTCTGTTAAAACCTGTTCTACAGGAATTCCACGACAATAATTTTACAAGTTTTTTCCGCTCTACTTTTCAATTTTTTTAAAAATCGAACAAAAAAGCTTGAAAAATTTGAGTCGAGGAATTTCTGTAGAAAATATTTCCACGTAATCAATTTTTCTGCAGAATTTATTCCATCGAAAATTTATATTTAAAACAACGCGTAGATAACCTGTGCAATTCTACAACAATGTTCACCCATTTCTACAAAAATGTTCACCCATGAATGCCTTCCACTCCTCACCCGATACTACAATGTCTCCTAACGAATTGATTGATGAGATGAGAAACGCCAGAACAGAATAATACATTTTTTCACGGTGATTTAATGATTGACTCTTGAATCGTATTGCGTTCCGCACGCGATGAGATGAAACAACTCGTTTGTAATTCTACTCTCGGTCTCAAATATTCCGATCGTATTTAATCACTGAGACTGGCCTTAACTAAACATCGGGATTACCTGGAAAAAGAGAACAAAGCAGACCCACTGATAGTAGGTGTAGTATTTCCGTGCCGCCACGTCTCCGTGGTCGTTCGCCACCCCGGGATGCGCCACCTCCGTGCCAATCTGCATAAAAAATAGGATCATTATGTTCACCGGATAACAAATTCAATTACACGAATATAATGTTTGAAGTTGGGGGGGGGGNGGGGGGGGGGGGGGGGGGAAGATCGACGGAGATGGGGTAATGGAGTTTGGAAGTTTGGCAGATGAGATTTCCCAAATTCGATAGAGATGAAGTTCTGGGGGGAGGGAGCAGGGGAAATCTGTGGGTATGACATTCATAAAGTTAGAGGAGTTACATTGTCGTGTGCCTGAGTGATGTGGAGATATGTCTACGGTACTATTCTACCACTTGCCGTGGGAGTGGACTTTAGGTTTCGATTAACTTCCGGTACACGTAAGAGTTAATTGTCAATCTTTGTTCTTTAAGTTTATGAGCTTCGTGGAAGTTATTTCGATGATTAAGTCGAGGGAATGGGAATTTTTTGCTGTTCATGGTTGTGAGGATGAAGAGGTAATTGAGGTGTGCATTGGTGATTGAGTAGAGCAGAATTGAGAGGCCTCGGGTGTGAGAGGTAAACTACTGAAATGGGGGGGGGGGGGGATTTTGCGGTGGGAATTCTCGGGCGAAAGGGGGTGGAAAAATCTGGGGGATGGCTTAAAAAATTTGTTCCTTTTAGGAGATTCGGATAAAGTGAGTTGAGGGGGATTTGAAGGGGATAAATAATTTTGGGAGGTGTTTGAAAATGCGAGGTGAGGGCGCCGCCATTTTTATCAACGGGTTGAGACATTGAGCAACTGTTGACTTCTATCATTCGCACACGTGGGCGTCCTCTTACTTCATTAAATTACAATAAATGACGTTGAGATATTTATTTCATTAATATTAATTTCATTTTCTAATGAGGAAATTTGGAGCTTGAGGGAAAGTGCTGGGAATATTGTCATTGTTAAGGGAATACGGTTTTAGCTACCAAATTTGTGAATTAAATCACGTGAGAAAAATTCATGCTGAACATTTTTATTTATTAAGATGTCTTGAGAGTGAAAAAAACTACTGAAATGCAGGGAAAACTTTGCGCCGTGAATTCTCAGCCGAAAGGGGATGAAAAAACCTGGGGGGTGGCTTGAAAAATTGGTTCATCCTATGGTAACTGGATGAATAATCGAGAGAACAAAACAAAAAGATGAATGGAAGAGCATGAACAGTCAATTGAATTAATGCTTTATCAATTGAATAAAGTAGAGTTGATTTAACTCCTGGAGGATAATTGGTTTAAATAAGAAGAGAACTAGACCAATAACTGTTGAACTACTTCCACTATTTCCAACGATAAACTTTCTGAACTTTACAGTTGCAGGCAATTCTCCACCGGAAATTGTCAAAATATTTACAGAAATAGATGCGTAAAGGGGGAATAAGGGGACAGGAGGTATTATCGGCACAAGTTGAGACATTCAGCGAAATGACGATCGTTTCTTTTCTCGTCAACGTTAAAAACGAATGGATAAACACATGCTAGGTTTATGCTACTTTGCATTTAGATTGGAATGGATTCTCATTGAAGCGTCAGGCATGGTTTCAACAATAGAATTTTTTCTACACTTTCAACTGAATGATTTTTCCAACCGCCTGTATTAATATTAAAAGTTCTCCTCGTTCTCCAGGTCATTCTAAACTACAAAATCAAGTAAACATCACGAAAAAAATATGCCTGAATTGAGTATAAAATATACTTGATCCAAGTATATTTTATACTCAACTAGGGGATAGGTATTTTAATTTGAAGATGATTGTTTTGTATCAGGCCGTGTTGTAGCAAGCCCTCTTGAGTGTAATATAAGGGTCAGGCACTAAGTGTCAGAATATAAGGGTCAAAAAGTGAAGGTTAAAAAATGAGGGTCAGAATATTAGGGTCAAAACATCAGGGTCAGAATATAAAAGTAAAAAAAGTAGGTGTCAGGCAATGACGGTCTAAATATAAGTCATATATCATGCTTGATCACCGCTTTTAGCCCTTGTCTGACCCTCATTGCCTGACACTAATTTTTTTATCCTAATATTCTGACCCTCTTTTTTGACCCTAACATTCTGACCCTCATTCCTTCACCTTTACATTCAGGCCCTCAGTTTTTGACTCTAATATTCCGACCCTCATTTTTTAACCTCCACTTTTTGACCCTTATATTCTGACACTTAGTGCCTGACCCTTATATTACACTTGAGAGCGCTTGGTACAACCCGGGCTGATGCGAAATAATCATCCTCGAATTGAAACACCCATCTCCCATTCGAGTGTAAAATATACTTGAGTCAGGTTTATGCTTATACTTGATGCTAGTATAAAATATACTTAATTCAAGTATATTTTTTTCCGTGAGTAAATTTTCGGGCTGTTGTCACCGTTTCGAGTGGTAAATCCACCCCCCTCATAAGGGCTATCGATTGGTTTTTATCTGCGTGAATAAAAAACAAACAAAAAGCAATTATAATCGATATCTATTGATTGTTAGTTGTCTGAGATACTAATTATATCGGAGAAAACACAAAAACCCTGTACTTTGTGACACTACTAGTGAAGACGTCTTATGATACTCCCAAGTGTTATTATTACTCATCGGAGATATGAATTATCAGTTCACTCGATGGATTTTGACGTTTCTCATGAGTCAGACTATCCCAAATACGAGTCTTCTGCCTGCAATTATTACGCTGTTTATTTGAGTGATTAGATTGAATTGTTTCTTTCTGAAGGAAACAATGTTGTTGGGATGCCGTGGACGATTGATTTTGTGTGGTTGGGACTTCACTTCTGGCGAGGAAAGAAGACCCTTAAGAAGTCCTGCCACATCCCTTCGCAAAAAATGTAAATTGATTCCTCAAATTTCATCATTTTTATCGTCCGTTCATGAAAGAAAGAATTAATGACATTAAATTTCGGAATTAAAAAAAAATGAAACAATGATAATTAATTTTCCATTCTGGACTATTCAATTTTTATATAAATATTCATTTTATGATTTTCATTGAGAATTTGAAAAGATGAATTTCAAAGTTTAAATATATTGTTCATCAATCATTCCTGAATAGAGCTCTTCATTTTCAGTAACAGCAGCTTTCCTACTATTACATAAATCATCCTCGAGAACTTACCAAACACCTGAGTCCATTCCAATTCTCAAAATATTCGTAACAGTTCGAAATAAACAAAGTTCAGCCTTTCAACATTGTAAATTACGAAATGAATGCAATATTCCCTAGTGTAGAATTGAACTTCAACAATAAAAAAATTGTCAAATGAAAAATGCTTGAGTTGAGATAAAATGGCTCATAAATCTTCAATAAATGAGAGAATTACGGGGCAAAACAGAATGGCTTCAGCGATCAATAACTCAAAACCCCTTAGTGAAACACCACAAAGTGACGCCTGGTGCCGTCATTAAATTTCATACTCCCAAAATTTATCGCCCATTCAAAACAACCCATTGTACCCCACCCCCTGATCCCTCCAAATCCCAAAACCCCGGCAAAAACCACTAAAAACGACAAAAATTCATCCTTTCAAATAAATTCTCAAAAATATTCCCAATTTTCAACCCTTCATTTTCTCCCCAAAATGAGCCCAAACTACTTCAATTTATTTTCCGCACCCACATCCTCTCAAAAATTCAAAACAACCCATTCCACCGCACCCCCTCATCCCCCAAATCCCGAAACCCCGCAAAAACCAATAAAAAGAAAAACAAAATTAATCCCTTCAAATAAATTCCACAAAACAACTCCAATTCCTTCATTTCCCTTCACGCCCCCACAATCCCTCAAGTCAAAACAACCCATTGTACCCCACCCCCTCATCCCCCCAATCCTGAAACCCCCGCAAAAACCACTAAAAAGAATAAAAATAAATTCCTCCAAATAAATTTCCCAAAACATCCCTAATTTTCAACCCTTCGTTCTCTCCCCAAAATAAACCCAAACTACTCCATTTTATTTCCTGCACCCACAATCTCTCAAAAAATCAAAACAACTCATTCCACCGCCCCCCCCCCCCCCCCCCCCCCACCCCCACCCCCCCNCCTCATCCTCCCAACTCCCAAACCCCCGCAAAAACCACCAAAAACTACAAAAATAAATCCCTCCAAATAAATTCCCCAAAAAACCCTCAATTTCTAGCTCTTCATTCCCAAATTCATTCCTCCAATACCCCCAGAACCCCCCCCCCC